GGGGGGAGGAGGGGCAGGGGCCACGCACTTGTCCGCCGGCGCACAATGTGTCCGCGCTCTCTGCTCCATTGACCAATCAGCGCTCTGCTCAGCATGGGTCCTCTGTGACGTAGCAACGACAGAATTAGGTAGCGGCAGGCGAAATCTGGCCCCTGATTTGGGGGAAGGAGAGAGGTGACTTCTTGAGACGGACAACATTCCAGTATCCCGACTGCAACAGACATTGTACATCCAGGATCGGATTGCACAGCCACACGCGCGTCGACAGATGAGCTGCAGGATTTCATCGTCATCTTCAACAACAAAGGACTTGTTTACTTGTGTTTACTTGTGTGAAAGACCGACATCACTGCACAAGGGACATCCCCATAAGCGCTCCGTCCCCTGAAGAAGCACATCTCCAAGTGTGTAGATGCTGACGGTTCCAAGCAATGGTTGATTCCGTAGCCTTCTGCTCCTCCCATTAAGTCTTGAACCTCTGCAGGCGCCCGATCCAATTCCAAGGACAGTCTACCAGTACCAATCTGGCCCCTGATTTGGGGTGAGGAGAGAGGTTACTTCTTGACATGGGTACAGAAATCTCTCGGCGTGACTGCCAACAATAAAATACAAGTAGATCTCCCTCAAACAGCCCCTGGACATGGATGGCAGGTGCCTCTAGAAATAAATCATTGATGGTCAAGGTCAAGGAGATCCCCGGGTCTCTTTGTGTCACCACACTGTGGATCAGGCGCTGGTCAATGTTGGGACATGTGCAGTTGTTGGTGGTATCGAAAAGTGGATTTGTTTGTTTTGTTTTTTTCTGGAAAAAATACCCATATATCTTGAATAGAAGTGAAGATATTTGCGATTGAAAAGGGTGAAGGTCGCTTGATGGTGAGGTCGCTGGATGGTGAGGTGGCTTGATGGTGAGGTGGCTTGATGGTGAGGTCGCTGGATGGTGAGGTCGTTTGATGGTGAGGTCGTTTGATGGTGAGGTCGTTTGATGGTGAGGTCGCTTGATGGTGAGGTCGCTGGATGGTGATGTCGCTTGATGGTCAGGTCGCTTGATGGTGAGGTCGCTTGATGGTGAGGTCGCTTGATGGTGAGGTGGCTTGATGGTGAGGTCGCTTGATGGTGAGGTGGCTTGATGGTGAGGTCGCTGGATGGTGAGGTCGTTTGATGGTGAGGTCGTTTGATGGTGAGGTCGTTTGATGGTGAGGTCGCTTGATGGTGAGGTCGCTGGATGGTGATGTCGCTTGATGGTCAGGTCGCTTGATGGTGAGGTCGCTTGATTTCAATAGTGAAATGTGCGGGAAAATGAGCCCCAAGTTTGTAACTCCATGATGTCATTTAGCCGGTGCCCAGGACCAGAAGGCTCACCACTTCCTGTCCACGGTTGTAGTTTTCCTGCGGTGTCACGTGACTTGCCGGCCGACCTGACCTCTGCGTCCAGCCTATACTCTTTGTTTTAGAGGAGGTTTTACGGCGCTCGCAACTGCTTAGGGTCATATGAGCACCAAATCCTACACTCTGAGTGCTCGGCGCAGCTCCCAGACCCCCGTTATTACATGTATTGTGTGTGGTATGTATGTAGCTCACAGACCCACGTTATTACATGTATTGTGTTGGGTTATTACATGTATTGTGTTGGGTATGTGTGTAGTTCACAGACACACGTTATTACATGTATTGTGTTGGGTATGTGTGTAGTTCACAGACACACGTTATTACATGTATTGTGTTGGGTATGTGTGTAGTTCACAGACACAC